GAGAGGGAAGTTATGAAAATTTAATTTTTATATATATATATATATATATATAAATAACATTTCGTCAATATTTACCACTAGTAATGACAATCTTACTACTATAAACAATAACAATTATCACTATTTTTTTATCAATACATTAAAAATAGAAATAACTAGTGATGCCATATACAAGAATATGATTAAATGAAACTTATAGCAAAGGCTAGATTTTAACCTATAGTGTGAGTTTGAATGATTATGAATATGTAGCTGTAGGAATTGCAAGAAGAATTACCATATGCACTTCTAAATATGTATATAATCATCCCAACGCTTAAATTTCTAAACCTTCTATTTCTAAAAAACTCTCTTCTATGCATTTCTTTATACTCATGTTGTCAGGTCATAAAAAAGAAAATTTTGGGTTAGTCCTAAACTTGCATCAATTTACTGGATCCAACCGAGAAGATCTTCAATACTCATTCTATTCCTTCACTACTTCTGTTGGCATGTAGAATAGTTTTTGAACATCATGCAAGCTTTTGTTCCATCATCTCCACTTCAACTTCAACCTTTTCATATGATTTTGCTTTCTCCAAGTGCCATTAAATACTTATATTTTGTATGGCACATTTCTCATGAGGAACAACCAAATTCTTTAACAGGAGAGAGTATTTCTCCAAAATTGTTTGCTCCTTTTTTTTAATAAAAAGTGGACATAAAGCATATCTGATTTGTGAAATTCCTTTGGCTTTGCTGAGAAAAAAGCATGGAAACAAACTAAAAATATATATACTTTACACCTTTTTTTTCACATGGCTGTCAGGAATCTCTTTACCTTTTCTTTTGCTTAAAGCAGGGATGAAGCAGGCCAATCAGAAGGGAGATGAGAGTTTGGCTTGTGAAAACTATTTGCTCTTCGTGTGCACTTTCCTAAGGATGCAGACAAGGTAGAGATCCGAACGGGAAGTTGCTGCTTGCGTCTGTTAAAGAAGGAAGAACCAATTGAGGTAAGAAGCAAAGGAAAATTGGCTCTAAGGTTTCCTACAGGAATTAGAGAGGCGGAGTTGTCCGGTTACTGAAGTGGATTTGTCAGTAGAAGCTTAGGTA